AAGAGAGAGAGAGAGAGAGAGAGAGAGAGAGAGAGAGAGAGAGAGCGCTCTGAGTGAGTAATTACATCAACATAAAACTTGAAAAGCTGCAAGTCCTGCTTCAGGGAGGAAACATAGCCCTGAAGACTCCCAAAGCACACCGTCCAAAAGTTCAAAGGCTGAACGAATCCTCAGCAGGCCTCTGCTCCTTCCTTCCCAAAGCAGACTAAGGTCCCAACATCACTGAGCCTTGTGCAAACAAACCAGAGCATAGCCAAATACTAGAACCAAATTAGCACCAAGAATCTTAGAATAGTACTTACTGAGAACCAATGACCAAAGGTCAGTCAGTACCTGTGGCACTCTGCCAGGTACTTTATTCTCCCTGACCCCCATCCCCAAGACACTGACTTTCCGGTGTTACAACTAAAAAATGCGTTCAGAAGTTGAGTGAACAGGGTCACACAACTAGTTAAGGGAGAGGCCTCAGCTGTTTTTGCTGAGCTTCTACCACACAGGCCTGTCACGCTCTGCGTCCTGAGAGCTTCGTCTTAAAAGCATGAATCCCTGACAAGAAAGTACAGCTCGAGCCGTCTGGTCCACCGACACCCAGTCTTCCAGAAGGCCCGTACCTCAACAGATCCCAATGTAGTAGATCCTAGCTCGTGGGTGGGTGGGGTCACTTGACCAGAGAAAATGGCTAGGAGGCAGCTTCTGGCTCCCTTGAAGTCAAAGCCAGGCCGCTTCTCCGCCAGAATTACTCTCTCCTCTCTCTTGATTCCTCCTGTCTACAGTCATGGGCTGGTTTCTGGTACTGAATCTGGCGTTTCGGGTGCTCGATGAAGGCTCGGTGAGTACTGAAGGGTCCGAGGCATTGCTCAGAGATGCTAACGGGTCAATGAAACCTTTAGGTCGTCAGCTGTCCTGAGCTGCAGCAAGCCACGGTGTGTGCACAGGTGCGGAAACTTACCACTCCGCTCCCCACGCCCAAGTTTCCCGCGCCACACGGCGGCTCGCGTCGTCCGAGCTGCCAGCCCTGGAGTGGCGGCGTGGCGCTCGGGTTTCTATCGGGAGCTGCGGGGACGGCCTCCACCGCGTCAACTTCGCACTGAACCCCGCGCGGTGCGACCCACACTGACCTGGCGCCTTCGCCCAGCTCCCCGTGCGTGTTGTAGTTCACGGTCATGACCTTCACCGAGTCCTTGAATATCACGTCCCCGCGGCTCAAGTACTGCAGCGTGCGGCGGATAGGGAAGCTACCCTTCATCGGCATGGCGGCGACAGCAGCTTCTCAAGCCGCGGACCCGCGCGTCTCCACGACGCGCAGAATCTCGGGAGACACCTCCCAGCAGCCCACACAGCCGCGAGGCAGCCTGGGACTCGTAGTTTCGGCCCGGGGTCTCAAACTCTCCCGCGCCGGAAGTCAGCTGGTCATTTTGCCCTTTACAGAAACCAGGTGTCTTTTCCCCAGGTCTCCGGTTCTGAAATGAAGAGCTCGACCGAGAAGTCTCTGTTGAGTCATTAAGAAACTTAAAAAACAAAAACTGATTTGCGGGGAGAGATGGCTCAGTGGGCACTGGCTACTCTTCTAAAGGTTCTTAGTTCAATTCCCAGCCACCACATGGTGGCTCACAACTATCTGTAATGAGATCTGGTGCCCTCTTCTGGCCTGCAGAGCACTTGTACATAAAACATAAATAAATAAAAAATTAAAAAAAAAAACTTGCTGTGCTGGAGAGATGGCTCAGAGGTTAAGAGCACTGGCTGCTCTTCCAGGGGTCGTGAGTTCAATTCCCAGCAACCACATGGTGGCTCACAGACATCTACAATTCAATCTGGTGCCCTCTTCTGGCATGTGGGCAGAACAGTGTATGTGTAATAAATAAATAAATAAATAAACAAATAAACAAATAAATAAATAAATGTATCTATTTAAAAAAACGTATTTGCAAAGGAGGAAAGAATGTGACTTGCTCTGGCGCGTCCAGGCCGGCTCTGAAGGACTCTGCTCAGAAGAGTCTTTCTCATTTGCTTGTGAAGAGTCTCTGTGACAGATACTGCGCTACAGGACGGCTAGTCAACAATGTCACTCAGTGCTGTAATTTTTTAAGATTTATTTTCATATTAGTGTCTTGCCTGTGTGTTCTATGCATTATGTGTGTGCAGTGCCCGCCGAGGCCAGAAGGGGGAGTCGGATTCCCTGAAACTGGCGTTACACATGGTTGTGTGCTGCCATGTGGGAGCTGGAAACTGAACCCAGGTCCTGAGCAAGAGCAGCAGGTGTACTTAACTGCTGAGCCATTTTCCAGTCCCACATACTGTAATTTTTATCATTGTTCATAGGTGAAATGGGTTTTTCTTTAGGTTTCCCAAGATTTTTCCTTTGTGCTTACCTATGTAATTTCAGTTATGCAGATAGTTTTAGTATTTGCCCTGCTCTGTGTTCTCTGAGCTTCCTGGCTATTTGGCTTTGAGTGTATCATTCATTTTTTGGTTTGGGTTGAGACTGGACCTCGGTGTAGCCCAGGTTGGACTTGAAGCCCTGATCCTCCTGTCTCTGCAGACTCCCAATTGCTGGGATTATAGTCATGTGTTTTACATGTTTTAACAGAAACTCTCCTGCTCCACCCCACCTCATTTTAAACTTTGCTTTTTGCATTTCCACTGACTTCCCAGTTTCATAGATGACCTGTCTAGTGATAAGCCCATTACAGCATTTTCCATTTGTTAATCTTTTATTTCTAATATTTTTAGGAGGGGGATACTTAGTGTTTTATCTCTGCTCACATTATCCAACTGCTCTGAGGGTGTCCCATGCTCACATATGGAGGTTGGAGGAAGACAAGTGTCCAGTTCTATTTTTGCCTCTCTTCTTGAGACAAGATTTTTCACTGATCCTGGAGCTAGGTTGCTAGGTTGGTACCCAGAAGTTCCAGCAATTGGGATTATAACTCACGCTTCTGGGGTTACAGGCACAACTGACCTCACCTAGATTTTTCCATGGGTGCTAGGATCCAAACTCAGGCCTTCGAGTTTGTGGAGCAAGCATTCTTACCCACTGAGCCACCTCCCCAGCTCCTGGTTGTTTTAGATTTGTTTGAATGTTTTGCCTGCAAGTGTGTAGGTACATCACTAATAAGCTTCAGTCAGGACTCCACAGTGAGATCTTGTCTGAAGAGGAAAAAGGTAAATTTTTGAGCATACTGCAAGAGTGCAGCAGGCTCAGAGAACCACCTGCCATCCAACTGTTCTTATATGTTGTTTGCTTGTATTGGTCTCTGTAATGCACAACTTGTAGTTCAGTTTCCTGTCTGGTAATTCCAATGTGAGTGTAGTTGTGTTGCTTGCTCACCTTTTAGGATGCTTATCAGCATTTGTGAGACATCTACTGTGTGGGGCATAGAAACTAAGATCTAAGTCTCCAGGGTGAAGGCTGTTTGCTGTAGCTATCGTGTCCAGAGCTTGGAGTTCCTGGCTCCTCTGCAGTGTCTTGCTGCGGTGATCCTCCTACTATCTATGCTGGCTCCCTGGGGAAATATGAAGTACAGAAAGATATGTTTTATGATTTTAGGATTAACTCTGAGGCCATGACCCTCATACATTTTTTAATTCCCTTCTTCTCCCTCAGACAAAGGCTGCAAGGGACTGACTGGAGTGGGAGCATTATGTTTGCCCCAAATGATTAAGTTTGGTGAAATTACTCCATTTGCAAAAGCCTTTGCTAGGAGGCTCTGGCAACAAAGAACTTTCCCTTCCTCTGCCATAGCTATAGAAGGAGCTTTCTTGGTGCCTCACCATTAGAACCAATAGGAGCAGCCTTTTCAGGAAGCAAGGCCTCACTGTACCTGGTAGACAGTCTCCAGAACTAGTCAAGGCTATCTGTCAGGCTTGGTCAGTACAGACATGTGATCCTGGCAACTCTGGAGATGGAGGCAGAGGATCGTAAGTTCAAGGCCTGCTAGGGTACAAAGTGGATTCAAAGCCAGCTCAGGGAACTTAGCAAGACCCTGCCTGAAAAATAAAGAGTTAGGAATATAGCTCAGTAGTAGAGCACATGCCTGGTATGTACAAGGCCCTATCCTCAATCACAGCCCTGCAACAACAAACAAAAAAGCTACCGCTGGCATTCCTACCAGTCATGGCTTCTGCTGCAACCATCAGAGCTTAACTGACCCTGAACTCACCACTCCAGATGTTGGGAGGACATAAAGGCCTGCAAATCAGTCCCCTAATGGTCCCAAGAAAGGCTACTGGTTTTCATTCTGTCCAGCTGCTTCTTCTAAGAAGCGTCTAAGAAGCTAAAATCAGAAGTGCTAACCTACAATTTGAAAGTGATTAAAATTCTGCTAGGCTCCTGAGGAGGCTTTCAGGTCTGAAAGTCTAGTCAACAGTCTAGACACTGCAGCTACAGGAAAATTCAGTGTCCCACACAAATGCCTTGGGGTCCTGAATCAGACAGGCCTGGGCAGTGTTACCACTTCGTTTGCTTGTTAGCTGGAAAGAGTCAATGAAGTGGCTCTTAATTATACTGAGCTCTGGCCCACAGTAAGCACTGGATACAAAGCCCCTTGGCAGGCTCCAGGCCCAGGTGAAGTCACTGTAGAAACCCACTTAGTTGTACCCAACTACTTTCTAGATTGCTCATCTACTCTCTTTTTGGTCAGTATAGTTGCAGAGCCCTCCTCCACCATTCCTGAGCCAACCTAAACCCTCATTGGTGCTGATGGCCAAGTGAATCCTGAGTTTCCAAACTGTTCTTTGTCAAGTAACACAAATGCCTGCTGGCAGAGCTAGGGAAGTGGGAAACGTGCCTTGCAGCGGAGGTCCCAGATCTCCCACCTCTGAGACTGTTTCTGGTGGGAAGTGGGGACAGGACTGCAAAGGGTCCTTAGTATATTAGAAGGGGACAGAGAAAGCTTCTAAGAGAAGGGCCAGCTTCACATGATTGCCAGAAAACCTGTTTCTGTGGGAAAGGGGAATGACAGGACCGGACAGGATCCTATCCTGTGTGGGGAGTAGAAACTAAGATCTAAGTCTCTAGGGTGAAGGCTGTTTGCTGTAGCTATCGTGTCCAGAGCTTGGAGTTCCTGGCTCCTCTGTAGTCTCTTGCTGCTGTTATCCTCCTACAATCTATCCTGGATCTCTGAGGGAATATGAAGTACAGAAGGATGTCAAACGGCTCCCTTTAATGCTTACTTTGCAACACAAGGACCTGAGCTTGATCCTCAGAAAGTGTTGATCATGGCTACATGCATTTGTGACCCCAGGCTGGGAAGGGGAAGACAAGAGGACCCCTGGGATGTTGACCAGCCAGTCTAGCCTAACTGGAGAGCTTTAGGATGAGAAACTGCCTAAAAGGTGGGTGGCTTTCCTAAGACAAATACCCAAGGTTGTCCTCTGGCCTCCATGTGCACATACAAACATCACACACAACAAACACACACTACAAAAGGGGGATGTGGTGATAGAATATTTATGATTTATTAAAGCTTGCTTGATGAAGCAAAGCAGCCACAAACCACAGAGGCAGACGATGGTGAGACACACTTTTCTTACTTTTTTGGTTTTTCGAGATAGGGTTTCTCTGTGGCTTTGGAGGCTGTCCTGAAACTAGCTATATTAGCAAGTCACAGAGCCAGGCAGTGGTAGCACACACCATTAATCCCAGGACTCTGGAGATGGCAGATGGATCTCTGTTAGTTCAAGGCCACCCTGAGCTACTGAAATTAATCTAGTCCCAAAGAGAAACAACTCACACAAAGGTGATCTCAGAACTTGAGATCACATACTTTTTGTGTGTGTGTGAGAAGTTTTATTAGAAAGGGAAGGGGGGAGGAAAGAGAAAAGAGGTAAAGAGACAGAGAGAGGACAGAAGAGGGAGACAGGAAAAGTCCTGTCTGCCCCAGGGGAACAGCAGGAAAGAGATGAGATCACACACTTAATTCCAGGGTTTGACAGATATAAAAGGAAGAAACAAACTCCGCCTCAGAGATTTATTCTCCAGTCACGCTGAGGAGAGGACAGCCATTTCAGCCTGAAGTAGAGGTAAGAGCTAGTGGCTGGCTGCTTTGCTTCTCTGACTCTCAGACAAGCTTTAATAAATGATAAATAATATATCACTATAGGGGATGGAGGGTTGTTTTAAGAACACACACACCCAGCCACAAACATGTTATTTTTTAATAAAAGACTCACATACATGTTGTTTTATTTTAATAAAAGCCTCTGATACAAGGCCCCAGTGTAGTGCATGCACATCAATGACCATCGAGCTGACAGCCACCATGATTATTAGCACACCTGTTCCTCCAGTCTGACCTAGTACAGAGACCAACTCCTCAATGCGGATCGAATGGCCTAGCTATGCCACATGACTCATGATGACTTAGAAGGACATTTTAGCATCTGACAACAAAGACATGATGAGCAGTAAGTGCCGTGAGTGAGGCTCCAGTTCCTTAGTGTGTTAGAAGGGGACAAAGTCAGAAGCCCTTCCACAGACGAGCGTGACCTCTGTCTAGAGGAGCTGCCAACTCCCTGTCAAGGATGTGCTCCTTTACTAAGCAGGTGGGGCTGTTTTCCCTGGAGCACCTCTGGGTCAGCAAGGGTTCAAATGAGGTACACTGTGTAGTTACACTCACAGGCCAAACCCTCTGCAAACCAACCTTGACCTACATAAATTCTAGGAAGTGATACAGCCAAAGGGTAGACAAGTCTCCCCTGTCATGTCTTACTTACAGAGTATTGTCAAAGAGGAATTCAAGGAGAAACTCAGTGAAACATCTGGGGTCTGTTTACTTGGTTTAATACTCAGTGAATTGAGATTTTAAAAATAGTTGTTAGAAGCACTTGTTTTTTCCATGCTCTCAGTCACAGACTGCTACCTGGAGGTGAGTTCAGGAAAGGAGTACATTTAGCTAATTAAGAAAAGCAATGTCTACAGCCATACCACCCTGAACACCTTGGATCTATATCAGGAAAAGTGGCTGTGGGAACCAGTATTGAGCTTCATTCTGTGTAAAGAGCCGCCTCCTCTTCCATCAGACAAAAGACAGTCCAAGCAAGGTGGATATGCTGGGCCTGTCTGGAACCGTAGGGCAACAGCATCTAGAGCCTGGGCCTTAGCAAGAGAAGAGGCCTGCCCCAGGAAACTCGGATGCCAGGCTGCCCACCTCCCAGGACAGCCCATGACACCACCAGAGCTGGCAACTGACTGGCACTGGTAATACACTCACAGGTCAGTAAACACCTGCTGACAGAACCCAAAAAGTTCTCCATTACCCTCCCTCTCCAACAGGACTTTCTACCCAGTCAAAGCCCCCAACAGATACTAATGAACAGTTGCCAAAATAGAGATCTTTGCACCAGATGCCATTCTTACCACCAAGATGGATCTTCACCAGAATGTGACAAAAGAATTTCAGCCTATACACCAATAACCAACAGAAGCCATGGCTCAGGGGTAAAGTGCCTAGTGGTCAGTTATTGTCCATTAACTAAATAGCATCACTGAAGAGATTACACAGAGCTGAGCACACCAGGATCTTACAAAGTCATCTGTCAACCCATCTGTTTCTGTAAACCAAAGCACTAAGCTACATAACTTCTCTTTCTGTCCCTATCAGAGTTCAAGTACTTCAGGACTATGGAATGATCTGAGGTTGTGCATCAAATATTTCTCTTTCTCAGTACTCCAAGTAGTAGGAAAACATCTCACCAGTTTCCCAGGTCAGGATGAACCACAGTGAAGGCTAAAATTTATTTCCTGACTCAGAAGTGTCCCATCTGCTGCCGATACTCCACAGAAGCTTCCTGGTCAGATTCCTAAATTGCACTACAGGCCCTTCAATGTGACCTAGAGAGTGGCCATTCTCCCAAACTATAACATCCACCAAAAAGCTGATCACTCCTATCTCATAATCAAGCTCACATTGACAACCCTGCACTTGGAAACTTTACTTCCTTTAACTGGGAGAGGATAACACTGGCAACGTCTCCACTAGTCCCCCTGGGTCCAGACTTCCCTTCATAGTAGCCATCTCCCTAAGTGTCCAGGAGACAGCCCAAGGAGGGAGGTGGTGAAAGGCAACAGCCAAATAGAGTCTTCTTCCAGAGTCCCTACCTGTCTTGGCTACAGGAAGGGGCCCGTGAAGGACTGACCTATAATACTGCATTGAAGACCAAGACCAGTCAGCAGGAAATGGACCAAGAGGTGTCCAGGAGCCATTCTGCCTTGGCCCAACAGAGATGCACTGAGCTGTATCTCAGAAATAAAATGGTAAAGTCCCCTGAAAAGGGAACACACCGTTAAAAAAATAATAATACAGAAAAACCAGCAAACGAATGCCGATTTGTTTTCTGTTCTTGTTCAACTATAGTGGAAACACCTCAAAGTGCACAACAAGAGACTACTGTTCCCACCCCTCACTGTGTGCATCCAGATGCCCACCTAGCTCCTCCTCCCCCTCGGTACCCTGCTGCCTGGTCCCTGACCACTGCTGTCAGTTAGGGCCCCCCTTCTGCTTAGCCAGGGTACACTTCAACTCCCGAAGGTTCTCAGTCAGCACCTCAACCTCGTCCATTCGACCACACTGCTTGGCATCAAAGATGTAAGCCTTGATGTTGTCAATCTGCTGCAGGAGCAGCTCCTCCTCAATGTGCTCCTCAGCCTCTGTGCCACTGTCACTGTCCACCTCAAAGGGGTTGGTGCAGGGGCACTCCTCAAAAGGGTTTCCAGGGGCAGGTGGGCTGGCAGGCCTGGGATGGTCATCCTCATCAAAGGGGTTGGGTGCTGGACTGTTTGGGTCAGTGAAGGGATTCCCTGCCCCTGACTCTCCTGCCTCCTCTTCCTCAGCATCTTCCTCAAAAGGATTGTATTCTCTGGTGACAGGAGCTGAAGGGCCCAGGAAAGCCTCTGCAGCAGCAGGGCTGGTAGCACCCTCTGCAGGGCTGGAGAGGTCTTCATCAAATGGGTTGAGAGAGGTCTTATCACTTTGTTGTGACATGGTGTTCTGCAGGAGTAATTCCTGGCCAAGTGCTGGGGGCCCAGACCATAAGTGGATAGGTGCTAGAGTTGAGCCAGGTGAAAGGGTATTGGGGGCAGTGCTGCCCTGAACTGGGGAGAAGTCCTGATCCAAGGCATAGGCAAGATCACTGTGAGGCCCTCGGTTGGGATCCAACTGGAAGGGTACGACATCTCGGAGATCTAGAGCACGAGTCCGTGTGTGCAGGGATGCTGCCAGGAACTGCTCCTGTTCTCGCTCCAGCTCCCGCCTGCGGAGCATCTGCAGCTGCTCTCGCTGCAGCTCCTCCTCCTCAGCCTGCCTCCGGGACAGTTCAATGGCCTTCTCAGTCTGCTGCTGGTCATACTCATCCTGCAGCTGCCTCAGGTTCTCCTGAAGTGTACGCACCTCATCTGTGCGGCCTGCAGCCTTGGCCTGCCTGATGAAGGACGTGATGTTGTTGATTTGCTGGAGGAGAGGGTCAGGGTTTTCACTCTGCCCCTGACCTTCTGACAGTGGAAGCCAGCCCTCAGCTTTTCGCAAGGGAGCATGGATGCCTCGGAGAGACTTCGCTTCCCCATTGGCTGCAAAACCACTCTGCCTTTCTTCGAGCTTCCTCCGGGACTCCAGAGCAGCCTGCAGAGACAGCACACACCACCAGGGTCACCATGGTCAACAGGCCAGCAGTCCTCCCTTTCTGCCACCCTCCATGGTCCCCACAACACTAAGATAACTCAACTGCTGAAACAAGGTAGTCACAGAAGGGCAGGCTTAGATTTTCAGAAATAAAACATAAGTTCAGGTGATTTCTTCAAACTTAGTTTCACTGGCTATACACTTTTCTTAAACTTTCAAAGACTGCCACCCTTATTAACATAAGGTTAGCATTTCAGATGACACTAAAGTACACAGTGTTCTAAGTTTTCATTTTGTTTTTTTGTGGTACTGGAAATAGAACCCAGGGCCTCAAGCATGCTAAGCAAGCATTCTATCACCGGACTATGAAACAGCACCCTCATTTTTTTTGTAAGTAACACGGCCTCACTATCTAGCCCAGGCTGGTCTGGAATCCAGGCATGTACCACCACACCTGCTGTCTTCTGTTTAACAGTACACATTCCAAGGTCTTTTGGAACTTGCCTGCAAGCCTACCAAAGGGAAAATTGTCAATCCCTGTGGTGGTCTAGGCAGGAGAGCATCAGCAGGAAAAACAACTATTTTTCTAAGGCCATAACAGAAGCCAGCTTGAGAAAGAGACTCAGCAGCAGAGGGCTAGGGTATGACAGCAGGAAGACAATAGCTACTGGGTGCCTGGGTGCCCCGCACCTGTCTCTCCATGGTCCTCTTCTGTTCCAAGTCTTGCTTCCTTTTCTTTTTCAGTTCTTCAAACTGTTCTTTGGTTGGCAATGACATCAAACCCAGTAACTTTTCCTGTAGGAGAGTAATAGACAATTTTACACGTAAGTGGGTTTTTTTTGGGGGGGGAGGAGACATGACAGGGGCTGGGCCTTAAGCCTTATACACTTAAGCTAAGCCACTCCACCCCCTGACAGGAAGGATATTCTTCCTAATTGGCAGACACCTTTCAGATGGACCTGACTTCTCCTTATGAGACGGCCATATCTTATCTCCAGGTATCTCCCAGGACTGTGCCAGTTTTTCCCTGAGGCTGTGTCCCGATCCCATCTACCAACACCCATCTAGACTCCAGCACTCCCGCCACCCACCACCCGCCACCCTTTGTGCTTAATCACCAACCCCAGATCTCTCCCTCGTACTTCATACTGCCCAACATATCACCTTTTAGTAATTTTTGTTGATTCCTTGCTATGTAACCACATTCTTTTTTTTTTTTTTCTTTTTGGTTTTTCAAGACAGGGTTTCTCTGTGTAGCTTTGGAGCCTATCCTGGTACTCGCTCTGGAGACCAGGCTGGTCTGGAACTCACGCCTGCCTCTGCCTCCCGAGTGTTGAGATTAAAAGCGTGCTCCACCAACGCCCGGCTATGTAACCACATTCTACCAATAGAAATATTCCCTCCTGGCCGGGCGTTGGTGGTGCACACCTTTAATCCCAGCACTTGGGAGGCAGAGGCAGACGGATCTCTGTGAGTTTGAGGCCAGCCTGGTCTACAAGAGCTAGTTCCAGGATAGGCTCCAAAGCTACACAGAGAAACCCTGTCTCGAAAAACCAAAAAAAAAAAAAAAAAAACAAAAACAAAAACAAAAAACCCTCCTGGAGGACTTTTAAGCTGGAGGCTTAAGTCATGAAACTTCAAGAAACTGACAAGACTCAGGAAACTCATGAAACTTCTAGGGCTCCTGGCCTTCCTCAGATGATCCGAGCAAGAAACAATGCCAGGGAGAGGAGTCTTCTTAGAGCTCCTTCAACCAAGTCATCTAGGGGCTCCAACAATGCAGGGGACATCAGAGGTAGAAAAATGCAACTCAGATCTAGTCACCTAGGTTTATAGCCTACTCTTGAACCATTAGCCAATGGCCCAGAAAGAGTCCCCAAAAGAAGAAATATAACTTACCACTAATAGCAAAAACTTAGGATTCATCAACTCCCCCAATGAGTGGTTCAACAAAGGAGAGCATACAGAGTCAAAGTAGCATTCCATGGCCAACAAAGCATAGAAGATTCAGTGATTAAAATGATACAAATCGGGGTTGGGGATTTAGCTCAGTGGTAGAGTGCTTGCCTAGCAAGCACAAGGCCCTGGGTTCAGTCCTCAGCTCGGTGGGAGGGGGGGGGGATGACGACACACAAAAAGAATATAAAATGATATAAATTTGTAGGTATGTATGGAAGGGTTGATCTTCCTTGTCTACTTGGATGGGTTTAGAATTGAAACACACCTCTGGGTGTGTCCATAAAGGTCTTTCCAAAAAAAAGTTTCAGGTGGGAAGACCCACTCTGGTGTGGGTGGCACTGTCCTATAAGCTGGGCTCCCAGACTGAATAAAAGGAAAGAGCTAGCTGAGCACCAACATTCATCTGTCTCTGTTTCCTGACTCAGATAAAATGTGACCAGTTTCTTCAAGCTCCTGTCACCATGACCACTTCACCTTGACAGATTTCAAACTGTAGCCCAAATAAAGTCTTCCTTAAGTTCAAAGTATTTTATCACAGCAATGAGAAAAATAATGCAATGAACTAATTATAAATATCGCATATAAAATGTAAATAGAGAAACAGAATTAAGAAAGAAAATATAACAGAATGAAGAACAATTGTATTGGAGACATAGGATTAAAAGCTATTTTAAACACAAGACCTGGGGCTGCAGAAATGGCTCAGGAGTAAAGAGGACCTGAATTTGGTTCCGGCTCCAACATCAGTTACTTCAACTGCCTGTCACTCCAGATCCAAGGGATTTAATGCCCTCTCTGGACTCTGCAGCACTTGCACTTACATGCCTATCAATCCACATGCAGACACACGCATACACAATCAAAAAGAAAATCTAAAATACAAAACAACACACACACACACACACACACACACACACACACACACACGCTGAGACCTTTTCCTAGGTAGAAATTGCATGGATGGATGGATGGATGGATGGATGGATGGATGGATAAATAGATGGATAGATAGATGGCATGAAGCAGGAGGTAGACTAGCTAGGATGAAGTTATGAGCAGGAATGGAAGGAAAGAGAGTGGGTAATGGGGGTGAGTATATCCAAAATAACTGTATGTATGTATGAAGTTGTCAAAATGTTTAATGATTTTTAAAAAGTATCTTTACTTTTACTTGGGTTTTATCTTTTTCTCCAAATGTGGTATTCATAATTTTAAGGAATAATAATATACCAATAGAAAACAAGCAAGTCACACACTTAATGTCACAAATGACTTTACCTGCACAAATAGTGTAGCTGAATATCTGATCATTCTCTGTAGCCGCAAGGTGTTTGGATGTGGTGAAGGATCCTGGTTCAAGCCCAAGGTTAAGATCTTCTTACTATATTGGAATAAACGTGTCAATGTAATGGTGCTGCCAGCCTCAGCAACAGAGTGAAGTCTCTGGAGCTGCCAGGCTTTCATACCACGAGGATGTGGAACAACACAGAAGAAACTGAAGTGTCCCTCATAGCAAGGCCCATTCCTTACCCTCTGGCTACTCTAACACTGCACTGATGAATGCTTGGTCACAGTAGTAGCAACACAGGAAAGCCTGGCTTCACAAGTGAACACAGGGTATGGCAACTAACAACCCATATTTTCATGACTTGCTGTCACTATCTTAAAATATTCAAGAGTGGAGCCACACAAAGAACCTGTGTTTCTATCAAAGCTTCTCTCTTATAAAATGGAGGTGCTAATCCTGATCTGTCCCACGAGGACAGGCATACAGGTAGTACAGCAGCTAGTTCTTATTTCTTTATTACTAATGAACATCAGAAATCTTTTTCTCTAGTCCCCAGTATGCTAGGGACGCAACCCAGGGCATTGTACATACTAGGAGAATACTCTATTACTGATCTACACACCACCGGTAAGCACTCCAAATCCTTAACAAGAAGTTCCAGAGCTACAGTAGATGAAAAAGTTCCTCCACTGTTTTCACTGTCACCAGGAATCTAGATAAGCCCAAGCTGCTCCCCACCACTCACTGTTTCATCAAAACACCATTTTTGTCCCATTAGCAAGCAGCAAAAACATGATCTAGCAAACTTTACCTTAAAGTGTCTATTAGTTCATACACTTTCTGCACTTCCACTCGAAGGTCATTGGCATGCTCCAGACTGTAGGTTGTTTCCCCAGCACTGAGGAGAAATCATAAATCATGGTGCTAACTGAAGAGCGCAGTGTTTACATCCTCAGACACAGGTGGTTAATTCTAAGGCATTCGAGACTCATGAAGACAATGCAATAATTCCTCAGGATGCAGTAATCAAGCAGAAGTCATTTCAATGTGCAGACACCTCAGGGACAAACCACTGACCAGGCTTCTGAGGACCACCTCTTTTATTTATTTTTTTTTAAAGATTTGTTTTACTATTTTTAGGTATGTGTATGGGTTAGTATATGTGCCTAGTATATGTGTCAGATCCCCTAGAGCTGGAGTTACAGGAGGTTGTGAGGTTATGAGCCATCTGACATAGGTGCTGGGAACCTAACTCTAGTGCTCTGGAAGAACACTCCGTAACTGCTGAGCTATCACTCCAGCCCCCAAAGACCAGCTTTTATACTCATCAACAAAACAAATGCAGCTGAGTTCATTCTGACCCACTTTTCCTGAACAATCCCTCACTTTATCTTATAGGAGGTATAAAGTGACTTAGTAAATGAGCCAATGAAACTACAGGAAAGCCAGAAGTCACTTGGCTTTTCACACTCAGCTACTGCTTAAGAAGAGGAGTAACAATGCAGTGAACAGGAATCCCCAGAGCTATGCCAACTGCCCCACAGACTCTCTCTCACAAACAACTGCTCCAGATAGGAGAAAAGCACCCAGACTTCAAGTCTAACAGAATGAGACTAACTGTCCAGAATGGTGAGCAGTTATCAGAAAAGACCAGAAGCAACTTAATCCAGGACAGCAGCAGCATCTTTTTTTTTTTTTTGGTTTGTTTTGAGACAGGGTTTCTCTGTAGCTTTGGAGCCTGTCCTGGAACTAGCTCTTGTAGACAAGGCTGGTCTCAAACTCACAGAGATCCGCCTGCCTCAGCCTCCAGAGTGCTGGAATTAAAGGCGTGCAGCACCAACGCCCGGCAAGCAGCAGCATCTTTAGCGTTGTAATTATTGAATTTGCAAGCTTGTCACCCAGGCTTGCCAGACTGCTGACTCCAAGTGCCATGATTGTGGCTATTCTTTACCATATTCTTGGTTATAAACTTTTGGATCATGAGAACGGCTCAGCAGCTTTCTCAGCTGTAACCAGCCTCACCACCAGCCACTCAACTCTTCATGGGAGGCAGCTGCAACTTAAATAAGCATTACAAATTTACCATGTATAATGCAGTTCTGGCTGAAAAAAATATATATGGGAGTGTTTTATCATCAGGGGATTCAATACAGTGGCTTTATCATCTTTTCACCACAAAATATGCAAAAAAAAAAAAATGGAAGTAAAAAGGCAGGGTTTTTATTGCTGGGGGTTGGGGGGGCACACCTTTATTCCCAGCACTCGGGAGGCAGAGGCAGGCAGATCTCTGTGAGTTTGAGGCCAGCCTAGTTTACAGAGCGGGTGCCAGGATAGGCTCCAAAGCTACACAGAGAAACCCTGTCTTGAACAAACAAACAAACAAACAAACAAACAAAAACAAAACAAAACAAAAAAAAAAGAAAAAAAAAACAGGCTTTGTCAGCCAGATATTTGTGGCTCGTGCCTTTAATCCCACAATTCAGGAGGCTAGAGCAGACATATCTCTGTAGTTCAAGGCCAGCATGATCTACAATTAGAGTTCCAGAACAGCCAGGGCTACAAATAAAACCTCTGGATTTGGTTCTTTTTTAAGTGGAACCTTGCTATTCCGAACACCTCAGCTCCAGAGGTCATGCATGTCTCAGCCTCCTAAGTAACTAGGACTAAAGCTCTGTCTTGGTGTCTCATAGAAAAATCTAAGAGCTAACTGAGGCCTGAAACCACTTCCTAGGCCTCCATCACATCAGAGCACTGTCACGGCTAGAGTTAGCCCATTCAATACTTGCTCTCTTGACGATGGGCCATGGGAAAGGCACCATCGTCTCTGTTCACTGCCTCAGTCACAGAGAAGAGTGTGTGGCACAGAACTAGTGCTCGTTCATGAAGCATCTGCTCAATGAAGTAATGTAAGACCCAGGAAAGCTAGTCCCTGGAGGAGAATCAAAAGTTAACCATTTGGAATGTGCTCAGCAATGGCTGTCCCTACTGGCCAAGGAAAGTCACAGAATGTAGGAGAGGCAGCACTAGCCATGGATGCATGAACCCATACTCATACACAAGAGCACACACACACATCATACACAGATGTACCACACACACTAAATAAATAGGTAAGAAACAGGTAGCCACAAGTGTTAGCCAGGCTGTGGAGAAACAAAATTATAAAATGCAAAGACAAAGATAATATCCACACAGTTCTTTGGAACATAATTTTGCAGTTCCTCAAAAAGCTAAATGCAGAGTTACCATAAAACCCAGCATAAGTTATACACCTATGCACACACACACATAGGTTCATATATATACACAATTATGAAAGTACAGACATGTTGGCATATGTCTGTAGTCCCAGTACACGAAGGTAAAGACAGGAAGATCAAATGATCAAAGCCAGAGTCAACTACAGAATGAGTTTAAGACCGGTCTGTACTACATAAGAACTTATCTCAAAAACAAAAAACAAAACAAAACAAAACAAAACAAAACAAAACAAAACAAAAAAACGTGTTATCCACAATAGTTAAAAGTGGGGTTGAGGGGACCAAATAAACACCAATTGACAAATGAATAAACAAATTTCATAAATAAGTCTACAACATTTTAGTACAAGGACAGTAATGTAGTGCATGCTACAACATGGGTGAATGAATGTTGAAAATACTGATGTACACAGAAGTAGCTAGACACAAAAGGTCATATAATCCCACTTATAATGGAATATCACATACTGACAAATTCAGGCAGACCTGTGATTGCTAGGAAAAGGGCAAGTTGCTTACACCTATGAAGTTACTCACCTGAGTGATAAAAATGTTTGCAATTAAGATGGCAGTGACAATTGAACAATCTTGTGACTATACTGTCATAAACATCACTGAACTGTACACTAAAAAGTATGTGAACCACACCTTAATTTTAGAAAAGAAACCTAAGATAGGCTACATTTGCCCAGTGCTGCTGTGTACCCATCTGTGCTCAAAACAAAATGCCTGATATAAGCCTGACATTACAATGCACTGTTAAGAGGCACCTTGGCAAGCTGGGCATGAGATGGGCTTCCCTTCCTCACCTGTTTCCAAGTCCTACTCTGAGCAGCGGCACTTCTGGTCTGAGGCCCCTCCCAAATCTGCTTCATTAAAATGGCCCTAACACATGAACATGGACAGTTACTTGTATTTTCATAACTCATGTGACAAAAGCATATGACCACCAATGAACAGCTGAAAAGTCAGAGTTAAGATTTACAGCTTTAAGTGCTCCCAGAGGCTAAGAGGCTAGGGGTTGGGAGTTTAAGAGGCAATCTAGAACCAAATACATACTAAAGGATCTATTAACGTTAATCTCCTAAAATCTGGGGGGGGGGGTCTATTTTTTTTTGGCAGCTGTGTATCCAATGGTAGAGCATGTGTTAAACATATACAAGGCTAGGTTTCATTCCTGGCACCAAAGAGGAAAAAATAAAAAACAGAAAACAAATAAAAAGATTTCTATCTTTATTTTCATCTAGTGAAGACTGGCCTCAGAAAAACAGAGAGGAATGGCTTACTTTAAAGATGCTGCCATCCTGATGTATTCAGGAGCTTTCTGGTCAACTTTCTCCATGCAAAGTCGTAGTTTCTAAGAACAAAAGAAAAGAGGTGAGTGCTACAATAAAGACAGAAACTCTGACCTAGATGCCAACCTATACTAGAGACATAAATAAAAGGCCCCCTTTATAACACTAGGTTTTTGTTGTTGTTGTTGTTGTTGTTGTTGTTGTTATTGTTAGTTTCCTTATGGATAAACCTATTTTCTAAGCAGAGAATCTTGCAGGAAGGAAAGAAAACAGGGGTGGACCTTTTGACCAGATGTTTTTGAGAGGCAGCCTTCCAGAGCACAATGTGTCTCAGTAGGGAAGAGGAATCAGCCACTGTGTTCTGGCCAGGTGATGCCAGCTAACAGCAAGCTACCAGCACATGGCACTGCCAGGGCTCTCCTCAAAACAGTAAGGAAGTATGAATAATGACTAGTTACAAATAAGAGACACCAGTTTTTGAACTCCATACAGGATGGAGGACAGCTACAGCTGCAGCTCAGCATTGGTTTCACACCATCTCTGGCAATGTCAGTATTTATATGGTGGAATATAAGTAGCCATCATGACCTGCAGAAATGTTTAGTGGCCATTCAGTGCTCACTGAGAACATACTTTCTTGGCTCAGAGTTTGCTCAAGTAACTTCCTCTGCCCAGGCTGATCCCCACTCCAGTGTCCTTTACTTCCCCACCTGTCTTCCGAACTACTTCTCCTCAGTCCACAGGTCTCACTTGGTCATTAAGAGGCTGATTTAGCCTCATTCCCAGATTTTTTTCTTTTCCTTTTATTTTTGTTTGTTTTAAACAGGCTCTTTCTATGTAGCCCTGACTGGCCTGGAACTTGTAAACCAGGCTGTAAAACTCAGAGATCCACCTGCTTCTGCCTCCTAAATGCTGGGCTTAAATAGGTGTACTACCATGCCCAGTCCAGATATTCTTTACATACTCATTTCCTCTTGCATACCAACTGATTTTAGATGTGCACTGGAGACAAAACCTACAGCAAGAGGTCTACCACAGAGTCACACTCCCTTCCCTTACTCTCAGCGTGCCTCCACTTAGGTGCTCTGGGGTCACTGGAGGCAATGAAGACTAAGGCATTTGAGACTCAGAAGAGACTCTCGGTGGACAGGCAGAAAGCATACAAGCCCTGAAAACACACAACAGCTCAAACTGGTAAAGACCAAAACTTCCAAGTAGATTTCCCAGGACCCTTGTAGCCCACAGTTCACTACACCTTCAGCTTCTGTTTCTTCCACAGAACCTGGTCATGCACAGACAACCATCCTTCCCCACTTGTCTTAGGCCTTCTTCCCAAAGTAGGAAAACCGAGTTTGCTACCACACACCCAGGATAACTCTATGACTCACCCAGGGCCCTAGCTGGGAAATCATACCATGGCCCTTGGGCAGGAACTAAAAGTGATTCAAGGGAACAACTTCCCAGAGCACTTTCTAGAATGTGCAGGCAGGTGTACAGCAAACAGCCGAATGTGCCTGGCATGCGTCACCTCGTAGAGCTTCACGATGTCAGGGGTGTGCTCCTTCTCGTCCATCTGCTGCTCTCTCTTGAGCAGCTTGTCCTTGCAGTGTATGCAGCAGCGAATGCGGTCATCCTCCTTCTCGTCCAGGACTGAGCTGACACTGCTCATGCTACTGAGGCTGCCCCGGCGGGAGCCATGGACACTGTTAGGTGACTGGCTGGGGCTGGTATGGGTGCTCAGGGAGTCCTTGCTGGCACTGGTGAGCTTATCTACAAACCACAACAGACAGGCAGCAGTGACCCCTCAGCAGCCACTTATCCCACCACCTGTGACTGCAGTACTCAGGCCACAGATGGGACCTGGGAAACAATAAGAGTAGGCTTCGCCTCTGGACAAGAAGGACCTATTCCTCTGCCATAGGGGTTAGACTCTGGTGGGAAAAGAATGTTGTTGCCAAGTAGATCAGGTCCAAAAAGCCAGTAGTGACCTGTCTTTGGGGCTTTTAATACTAATCCTAACCTGGCAATCCCATACCCACTTCCTCTACTTGTCCCATTTCTCCACACAATCCATATTCTCCAGAGATTTCCCTTTGCATCCCTCCCACCAGTCCCTAACATCTGGTGCTTACCCTTTCCAAGCTTTGCTCAGATACAGACCCTCCAGGAAGCCTTCCTAGGTTCCCACAAGCAAAGATCTGCCCTTTGTATCATTTCCCATTACCCATTTGGAGCACACTTCGTTTTCTCCCTGTCCAACAGCTGAATGTATGTACAGAGCTGCTCTGGGAATCTGCAACTATTGGGTTGAAACTGTCTTATACTCATAGCCCTAACACAGCCATCGGGGCCACCTGATAGTATCTGTCCCGATAAAAAGCCCAAGAGCAGAAAGGTTAACAGTGTCCTGAAAGGAGGTGGGTCTCAGGGAGAAAGGAAAGTATCAAAGAAAAGTAAGCAGACACAAGAACTAGGCAGAGCAAAAGTTGATTGTGCCCCAATGTTGTCCATAAGCCTCACAGCCAAGTACATACAAATAACAGAACTCTTTGGTGTTGCTAATCTGTGCTGGGGATGAACCTAGAGCCTTAACCATGCTAGACAGGTGCTCTTTCACTGAGCTGCACCTCAGCCCTCCTGTAGCAGTGCCTAAGCAGCTGATCTGCAAAGTACTGGTGCATTTGGTCCACCTGTACTTTTACATTCTTATACCCCAGGTCTCACCCACACCTGTACATTTCCCTCCTCACCTACTTAGCTCAGCTCCTGGGGACTGAGTGCCAGGATCCCTTGATGTTTTTGACTCTACCTAGCATGCTAACAACTCCATTCTCTTTCAAATTACTTCTGACATCACACATGGAGTCCACTTAGCATTTCCCATATGCCATTAGTATGACATTTTATCATAAGAAGAGGAACAGAACCACTGCTCACTTTTCAAATCCTCTTCCTAAAACCTCACCTGCATTTCTAGGCAAAATTGACAAAAAGCTGATTAGCCTCTCCTTTATGATGCAATTGTGTGTGAGTCTCTATCTCCCTTGCTAGATTTCCTTGGGAAAACAGGCAATGCCTTACAGACTAGGAATGTTCAAATAACCACTTCTAACCGACTGAGCCTCTGTCCTGTTTTTGCATAGCTCTTTAAGTATTTTTTCACTCTTTTTTACTTTTGTTTTGAGACAGGATCATCTCACTCTGTAGCCCAGGCTCAATCTTATGGCAATTTTCAGCCTCAGTCTCCCATGCGCTGAGGTTGCAAGCAGGAGCCACTACATCTAGCTTGTTTTACATTTCCTTGTTTGGTTTTAGTTTGAGACCAAACCTCAATATTTATCTAGGCTGATATTAACCATGCTGAAACTCTCTGATTCTGCCTCCCTAGGGTGTACACACCCAGATGGTTTTTAAGAAGTTGTTCCTTTTTTTTTTTTTAAACTAAGAAGAAAGGGAAGAGACTATGTGCATCCACAAAGCCTAAAATCTGATTTAAAAACAAAACAAAACCAAAATCTCAGGGCTGGGATGTGGGGCAATCCTAGCTCTTGGGAAGCAGAGGCAGGTGAATCTCTGAGTTAGAGGCCAGCCTGGGCTACAGAGCAAGTTCCAAGATAGCCAGGGCTACAGAGAAATCCTGTGTGGGGGCAAGGTGGAGCAAAACCAACAAATAAGCAATCAAAACAAACAAAAAGATCTCAGGACTAGAAAGATGGATCATGGGTTAAAAATGCTTGCTGCCCTTGCAGAGGACCAAGGTTCAGTTCCTAGAACTCATATAGTGGCTTACAACCATCTGTAACTCCAGTTACAAGGGCTCCAACACCCTTTTCTGAAAAAAAGGGGGGAAAAAAAGTTCACCAGCCTGTACAGGCCACTATATCCTTGGGCTCTACCTAGCACAAGTGTCTAGGTTGTAGTGGGCTTTATGAACTCACAAGTAGATGAAGGAAGATTCTGTGGACCATTAATTAAACTAGTGGTTCCAAGGACCTGGACACACTCACTAGTCCCAAAAGAGATCAGGGCCCACGGCCCACAACCACATCACCTACTTGCCAAGGGCAGGCCAATGAGCTCCATACATTTCTTGCACATGATAGACCCACAGAGGCGACAGTGGTGACGGCGGTTCCGGATGCTGAACTTATTCCCACAGTCTGGACAGAAAGGGACATCCTGGTCATTGACCCAAGGAACCACAGACTTTTCTATTGCTTTGGAAGGAAAAAGGAAAAAGCTCAGCATTCTGAAGTTGTTCTTAGGGAGAAAGCCAAAATGGAATGACTGTGAGCAAAGGTTTGGACTTACCTCTAATCTTTGAAGTCTCAGTATTTGTTCTGTCAAATGCAGTGAGCTAAACAGGAAAACACAAAGCCAAATGGAGTTAACCAGTTGAGGGACATGCTCCACACTTCTGCCACTCACACCCAGCAGGCAATGCACGTTTGCATTTCTCAAGGCTCACTGGTGAGCCCCAACCCAGTTATCCAAATAATTTCACAAGGTATGTTAGGGTTATTTGTTGTTGTTGTTTGGGTTATTTGTTGTTGTTGTTGTTGTTGTTGTTTTTCAAGACAGGGTATCTCTGTATTGCTTTGGAGGTTGTCCTGGAACTTGCTCTGTAGACCAGGCTGGCCTTGAACTCACAGAGATCCACCTGCCTCTGCCTCCTGAGTGCTGGGATCAAAGGTTTGCACCACCAACACGAGGCTTGTGCTAGTTTCATATCCAGAAGAAACCTCCATACCTATAAAGCTTTATCAGTGTGATTATTTGGGACCAGGCAGACAGGACAAAAGAAAAGTTCCACCTCTGCTTACAAACTTCCATTCCTGTAAGAACTTTCCTTGTCTGGGACTTACATGGTGGTAGTGTGCTTGCTGGGGTACCATAAAATGAAAAAAGGGACTATAACTACATATGCTACCACATGCCCCCACACAATCCAGATATAAAGCAAGTGTAGCTAGGGTCAGAATACAACCCAATCATGGAGGTGCTGCAGGCATAGTCTAGCACTACAGGGCAAGAAAGGCTACCCAAGATGCCCCCACAACACATACTAGCCCTAGCCCTGAGTGAGTACTCACAGAGGAGGACACTGCTTGGTTCTATCAAATGACATGATATACTGTGCCCCCACTGAGTGACTGCCTGGGATAACCTCAGAATGAAAAGTTTTAAAGCAGTAAGTGGAGGTGAAAGGCAGAAGAAGGGAGCTGGGCACATAGCAAGTCTATCAGTGTGAGTCATTCACTTCAGAAGGCCAGCTCGGGGTAAGCCTGTCCTCTGTAGCTCTCTCAGAATCAGAATACATCACTCATATAACACATGCTATAGAAATTGAGATTCCTACAAAATCTGATTTGCAAAATAAAACTACAAAATTTACCTTCTCCAACCTGATTATTAATTTGTTGACTTCTACAACATAGTGGTCAATTCTTGCAGCACGATGTTTTTTGAAGTCAGAAAGATGGCTTCTCACAGCACCTAAAGGGGAAGAGAAAATAAATGAATTGTTAGTGATTCTCATGAAGCCTCTCTAGATCTTCAATGAATTGAAAAGCAAGTAAAAAATTCTGGATTTTAGAGTCTTACCAAAAATTTAAAGGTCTCAAAGCATAGCAGATGAAGTCGTTATAGAGCAAGCCTGAGCTCAAATTTCAATTCTGCTAGATACTAGGCAACCTTAGACAAGTTACTTGACTACTTTGTGACTTAGTACAACATAGCTTTTTATTAAAATAAAAGTAATTCCTTCTCAAAAGCAGGTCAGTGAGTGGTGGCTCTCACCTTTAATTCTAGCTCTTGGGAGGCAGAAACTAGTAGGTCTGAGTTCCATGCCAGTCTGGTCTGCAGAGTGAGTTCCAGGACAGCCAGGGCTACACAGAGAAGCCCTGTCTTGAAAACCAAATAGTAATAATCCCTTCTCAAAAGGGATGGGGGAGGGCAGTAAGTAATAATATATGCCCTTAGTATAGTTAAACAGATACCCTTCCTCAGTCTTGCATCTAAGACCCAGCAGAAATGTTCCCAATACAAATGAAAGCAGGTAGTATCTGACCTTAGTGTGTCTGCTCAGTATGGTCTGCTCCCAATGCTAACCTCTGACCCTGCCAGTACTCAATGTTCTTCCCAGTGACCACTCTAGCAATTAGAACTGGGGCAATTAGAAAACAAGCTATCACAAAGTATTAAAATTCACTTGTCTGAATTTTCCCCTTTATGCTTCTAATTAGCTTTCATATAATTCATAATTGCTGATATATGTCTATAATGGAAGTAGACCTCTGAATTGTGGCCAGAGTAACTCCATTTTACAGTAAGCCACTGTGTGCCTGACTGTAGCATAACAGGCCATCCTTCCTATGACTAGACACTGCTGAGATCAGCAGAGTTTCTAATCAGAGCAAGGACACGGGACACATAAACATGGTACCTTATCAGTCTAGTTTTATCTGTGCCTTATGTGGTCTGAACCCATAGCCACCACTACTGCTTCAACACTACATAGTGCTCTGAATCCAGCTTTGCATTAACTCTGCTATAGGCTTGGAGACATAAAAAACAGGAATTTAGGGCTGGAAAGAGAATTCAGCAGTTAAGAGCACACAGTGCTTGGAGGATCCAAGTTCAGTTCTCAACACCCATGTCAGATAGCTCACAACCACCTATAACACCAGCTCCAGGTAATATTTACCCTCTTCTGGACCCCCCAGACAACTGTATACATATGTGCACATACTCATACACAGACACAAAAATTAAAAAATAAATTTTAACAAAAATAAAACAGCTTGGTGCACAGGAGATAGGGGCTTTTCAGTGTTACAGCTGCCTATGAGTCACCCATGTTCCTGTAAATAACCCTAATAAACTCATTTACCTCACCAAATCAGACTGGTGGGAGCTTTCTTTGTTCTGTCTGCATCCTCCTTATTTGAAGTGAACAGATGTTTCCTTTACAGGTCTCTGGAAAGTCATGTAATGTGTACACTCACAGGATGGCCACTGACCACAGAGGGATATTGAACAGCTGAAGTGTGTGTAGTAGAGGAAATGGCCCTTACATTTTGTTTGATTCATTATTGAAATTTCGATAGCCACACATAGCTAGTGGCTACTGAACTGGACAGCACAGTTCTAAGATTTAATGCCACTTCCCCAGTGGTATGAATAAAAATGCAATCAGTGACCCTGGTAAATAACCCCTTCCTTTATTAGGGCCTTAGTTTTCTCATGTGTATGACTGTGTCCATGTGCATGCTGTGTGTGTGTGTTTGTATGTGTGTGTGTAGGGTGTTGTAGTGGTCAGAACAGGCTATCTCACAAGGGTTTTGAATATGGAAGTAAAGTAAACTACTCTGAAAGAAGCATTACTTATCCACTTCATGGACAGAAAGTACGTTATTGGATTGGGTATGTAGCCCTGTGTCAAGAGCACAGACTCAGCATGGGTGAGGCACACAGATGCTCAATAGGCATGGAATGAAAGAACAAATAAATGAATTTTCTTACCAAGCTTCTGACTAAGATTAAATCCTGGCAAACAAAATTAGTGACTGTTATCAATCCACAGCTACAGAATATGTAAGATGAGACACTTTGGCTCAGCAAATGTGGCATAATTTTGTTAATAGCTTTTCTGATATGTAATTCAATATTTAGCACAGGATAGTGCATGCCATTAATCCCAGCATTTGAGAGGCAGGCAGATCCTTGTTTTACAAAGGGAATTCCATGACAGTCAGGGCTACATAGTAAGTACAAGTCTCAATTTAAAAACACACAAAAATAAGTCATTCTAAGCATATTAATTCAATGGTTTGGATCATTGGGGGGGTTGTTTGGTATATTCACAAGATTGAATAATCATAAAACGAATTTTTAGACTATTTTTATCAATTGGGGCATAGTGGCAAACACCTTTAATCCCAGAACCCAGGAGGCAGAGGCAGGCATATCTCTGAGTTTAAAGCCAGCCTGGTCTACATAGTGCATCCCAGGACAGCCAAAGGTACATAGCAAGACCCTATCTCAAAAAAAAAAAAAAAAAAAAAAAAAGTAGAGTAGAGCTGGGGGTGTAGCTCTGTAACACAGCACTTGCCAAGGCCCCCGGATTCTGTCCTCAGCATCATTCCAGTTTAAAGTAACTAAGCAAATGAAATCATAATTATACACATCAGAAACGTGAGGTGCACAGTGCCTCTCACTTGTCAGGTAACCTGAAAGGACAACAGACCTGTCAATGGGCTCTGTGGCTAGTCTTCATGAGACAGACCCAGAATAACACTCTACTGTTGCACTTTAGCAGCTGTTTGATCTTCAGCAGATTCCTATAGGGGACAGTGACACTGGAAGGAGGCCACACATACAAAGCATTTAACACAATGCCTAACTTAAGAGATCTCAGCTCACTTCCTTCCATTTCTCTCCCTGTGAGGACATAAGGCCAATACAATGCTTGATCCTTAGGGTTTACTGAAGCTTTCTCAATCAGCTCCAAAACAATAGAAGTAGGAGGGTGACTTGTTGGGAAGAAGGGAGTTTACTGGAAGAGGGGGGAGCAGAGAGGATGGCAGAAGGGGATGTGATGACTAATCCTGGTTGTCAACTTGTCTCTATCTGAATCAACTAAAATCCAAGCTGCTGAGGACTCCTGTGAGGGATTTTCTTACATTATTTGAAACAAGATCTGTCCTAAATCTGGCCACACCTTCTGGTGACAGACCCCATGAAAGACTGGAAGAAGGAAACTTGGCTTTTAGTCTGCTTGCCGTCCCTGTCATTGGCAAGTTCATCTATCCTGTTGCTGCAGCCAGTACTAAATCCCAATTCTTCAGGATTCCAACACAGACTGAAGACCAGTAGCTCTCTAGGAATCCTCTAGGATACAGCACCAGATTGTGACTACACAGACTAACAACTACCAGACTCTCAGTTTTTTAGTTTTGAGACAGCCATTGAACTACCAGGACCATCTTCTATCAAAGTTCTGTTTCTTTAGAGAACCTGATTAATTCAGGGGGAATATAATCAAAGTGTGTGTGTGTGTGTGTGTGTGTGTGTGTGTGTGTGTGTGTGTGTGTGTAATATAATTTTAAAATTGAAAAACAATTACCTAAAACAGTGTGGATATCCCCTAAGCACTGAATGAATGAATGGATTTTCTTACCAAGCTCCTGGGGTTCCCACATGTAAGGATCCACCCCTCCATAGCTGAATGATTCATATCCTTGGGTCCCTGGTTCCACTCGATCATCCCCTTCGCGTTTCAACAACTTGTTCTTTGCTTTCCTAGCCTTCTGAACAAGATCTTAAAGAAATGAAACAAACACCACAAATGAGTCCAAGATTATATAAAAATAATCTTCTCTATTTTAAAATGCACAAGAATATTTGGATTCCCCAATGAAGCAGTGAGAGAAACATATCATTACCAACCCCCACAGAAGTAATGTAATTTTAAAAACTGCCTTTGAAACCTGATACCTACATGCAATATTTTAGTGTTCCATTTCTTATTGTTTACAATTGTTTACCCATGGGCAAGATGGTACACACCTTTGGTCCTAGCACTCAGAAGGCAGAAGCAGGCACATCTCTGTGGGTTCAAGGCCATCCTGGTCTATATAGTGAGTTCCAGGCTAGCCAGAGCTACTTAGAGAGACCTTATTTCAAAATAAATTAAATAAATATCATAAAAATTTGAAGGATCAGCCGGGCATTGGTGGCACACGCCTTTAATCCCAGCACTCAGGAGGCAGAGGCAGGTGGATCTCTGTGAGTTCAAGGCCAGCCAGGTCTCCAGAGTGAGTGCCAGGTTAGGCTCCAAAGCTACACAGAGAAACCCTGTCTCGAAAAACAAACAAACAAACAAAAAAAAAAACAAAAAACAAAACAAAGAAACAAAGAGAAAGGAAGGAAGGAAGGAAGGAAGGAAGGAAGGAAGGAAGGAAGGAAGGAAGGAAGGAAGGGGGGGAGGGAGGGAGGAAAGATCCTATAGGGGGCTGCAGAGATGGCTCAGCAATTAAGATAATTTGCTGCCCTTCAGAGGACCTAAGTTCAATTCACAGCATCTACATGGGGGTTCACAACTGTCTGTAACTCCAGTTCCAAGAGATGGATCCAGTGTTCTTGTCTAGCCCCCATGAGCACTAGGCATACAAGCAATGTATAAACATACATACAGGCAAAACATCCATAGTCATAAAATAAATAAAAATTTAAAAGGTAAAAGGACACCTCTAACCTTTCTGCAGTCTGGCTTATCTAGTCCTCTGAGTAGCATGGTGTATGGAAAGATAGGAAGCTCTTTGAAACCCTTTGGTTGTCAGGGGAAGCATAGATAATCTGGTTTGCCCCCCCCCCTTTTCCTGGAAAAGTATGCTATGATCAGAGTAGAGAGAGGGTCTTTCACCATCAGAGATGCAATGCAGAAAAAGCGCCGTGAGTGCCAGGCGGTGGTGGTGCACACCTTTAGTCCCAGCACTCGAGAGGCAGAGGTAAGCGGATCTCTGTGAGTTCGAGGCCAGTCTGGTCTACAAAGAAACCATCACGAAAAACGGAAAAACAAAACAAAAAAATCAAAAACCTGCCCTGGACTTCCACGTGTCAGAAAATCTGGGTTCCAGGCCTATTTCTGTCAATTGCTGTGTGGCTTTGGAAACATTACTGGTCAATTCTGAGCCACACTCACCTATATAATTAATTACACCAAGCATCCTCCAGTAGGACTGCTAGGAGAGTCAAGCAACACCACAATGCATACGAAAGAAACTGCAAACATTACAAAGCACCACCCTTTCCTGTACTTCCTTTAGCAGTTTCTGGTTCTGCTTCAGCGGCTAGAGTCAGCAGTTTCCTGGGCAATCACAGCCCTGAGGACTCTGAAAATGTCTGACTTCATCATGTCTTTGTATGGAAGTTGTAACTAATGTTACATTGATATTCCCAGCATTTTAGTTTTGTTTTGTTTTGTTTTGAGACAGGGTTTCTCTCTGTTATCCTTGTTCTGTAACTAGCTATGTAAACCAGGCTGGTTTGGAACTCACAGAGATCCACCTGCCTCTATCTCTGGACTGCTGGGAGTAGAGGCATTCGCCACCACCATCTGTTTTTTTTTGTTGTTGTTGTTTCTAATGAACTGAAAAATGGAGTATGGAAGTTCAGGGACAAATATTTGATTATAAGGAGCATGTGAGTCACATGTCTGGAGAACAGAGTCCACTAGAAACACCATCTAGTGGTTCAGCCCTTGTTTCCACCCAGTACCGATTATAAATCCAGCGTCCACACTCTGTGACTCTTGTGGCCTCCAGAAATGCTGCCAAATAAGATATGAAACTTAGTTCATATCTAAGTGAGGAAAGTGAGCTCCAGAGGAGCAGCGACTTATTTGGAGGTTAGAATATTAGGTACAGTCAAAATTACCTTTAAAGACTTCTCTTAAAAAAAAAAAAAATAGCCAGGCAGTAGTAGCATACACCATTAATCCCAACACTCAGGAAGCAGAGGAAGGCAGATCTCTGAGTTCTGAGTTCGAGGCCAGCCTATCTACAGAGTGAGCTCCAGAACAGCCATCATGGCTATACAGAGAAATACTTCTAAAAAAAAAAAAAAACAACTTTGGGAGTTGTTTTTCTTTGCTTTCAACTGTTACATTTCTTTTCCTGGTCTGCAAAAGGCAGAGTCTAGCCAGGGAAGGAGGGATGGTAGGAAGGCTTAAATTAGTAACAGGCAAATAGTGCTTTTTAGGCCTCCAGTTTTTGTTATTGTTTTGTTTGGAGACAGGGTTTTCTCTGTGTAGCCTTGGCTGTGCTGGAATTCACTCTGTAAACCAGGCTGGCCTGAACTCATAGAGATCCACCTGCCTCTGCCTCTCAAGCACTGGGATTAAAGGACTGTACACCTTTGCCCACTTGGGCCTCAACTTTTCTAGCAAAGGATAAGCATTCCTGTCCAAACCATCACAGGTTGAGAGTAAGATAATCTGAGTAATCCAGTAAGAGATAACAGATCACAGTGGTTATGTTTATTAGCTTAAAGCCAGGCTTACTCCATTTGGGTGACTTTGGGTAGGCTATCTAATCTCTCTTAATCTGGTAATTTAGCCAGCAAAATGGAATTCACAGTAGCATAGCTGTCATGTGTATTAAATAAGATAAATGTGGCACAAGCCTTTAACCTCAGCAGTCAGGAGGCAGAAGGAGACAGATCTCTGTGAGGTCAGCCTGGTCTACATACTGAGTTCCAGGGCAGCCAGAACTACATAGAAAGAGACTCTGTCTCAGAAGAAAAAAAAAAAAGGTAAGTAAATACACAGAAAGAATCAACAATACCGAACACACAATAAGTACTAGATTTCTGCTTGCTACCATTTGCTACTATTATTATCGGCATAATAACCCAGAGGGAACATGAAAGTCTTGAAATCTATTCCATTAAGTAATAGATTAATTAATTAATAGAATTAGTAATTAATAGAATGGAATGAGCAAAACCCTCGCCTCTTACTTTTAATTTGTCCTTTGACATCACGGTCTTCTGAGTGCTCTTCTTCATAATGTGACTGAAGTTGATAGAAAGACTGAAGGTCTTTTAGGCACAAAGGGCACAGGAAGCCTTCCCTCACTTCCCCTGGGTCATCAAGAGAAGCCATAGTTGTGCTTCTCTCAACCCCAGGAAAGCAGGAACCTCATGCCAAGTCAGCTTGATTCCTCCCAAGGGAGCAGGATTCTGGCAGTGTTAGCTTAAGCAGGCAGCCCAGGGATAATTGGGAAGTGACATTGTGGCCTTGGATGAGATTTCCTCTCTTCAGCAGGAGGAATCTAAGAAAAACAAAAGTCAATTGAGGCAAATTAGCAGAAAACAAAAGGTTTCTTTGTTTTTCCCAAAGTTCAACAAAGGTACAAGTTTGTAACAACAAGGTTAATGTTTGGCACAAATTTGTTAAAACAAACTGTTTCTCAAATTCTTAGACCAAGACAAAACCCAATATATGAGAACAGCATGGGGTCACACCAGTAAATCAATGAAGTGAGAAGTAGAGTCCTACAAAGAAGCAATCAGGACCCCAGGGCACTTCCTTTAAGTTCATTTAAGTGGTCCAACCTCATTATTTGAAAGGATTTTTCTTAATACTAAGGATATAACCTAGAACTAGGGTATGACAGGCAAGTCTTCTACCACCAAGTCCACCTCAGTCCCTTTTGTTGTTCTTATTGTAAGACAAGGTCTCGCTAAGATTGCCTGGGCTGGTCTTGAACTCACTTTGTAGCCCAGGTAGGCCCTGAACTTGCTACCCTCTTGCTTTAGACTTCTGGAATTACAGACCTAAGCCACCAGCATGGCCAACATCACCATTTCCATGCATTTTAGTACTGAGGGAAATATGTAACATACGTATCAATGAACAGTACTTTTATTCAACTACATACACTGAGCTCTAGACATTTGTTAGGAACATGTGCTAGAAATACCAGAAGCTAAGTGTAGTGGCTCATGATCAACACTCTGGAGGGAGACAAACAGGAGGCCAGCCTGGGCCACACTGTGAGATTCTGTTTCAAGAAACCAAAACAAGGACTAGCAAGATGGGTAAAGTGTACACCACTCAATGGTAAAGTATATGCCTCAAAGTTTAATTGCCAGAACCTCCAAACAGGTAGAAGGAGAAAACCAACTCCCAAAGGTTGTCCACTGACCTTCATTACACCTAAGCACACACATCATACACACACAAAGCAATATTTACAAAAGAAAAACTAGCGTTTCTTTAAACACCAAAAAGTAAACTAACAAAACTTTCAACTTTCCCTTAAAGAGAAATATTAAGAAACCTAGTAGGGGGGAAAAAAAGTCAAGAGCCAGAGAGAAGGCTCAGTGTAAAGGCACTTGCTACCAATCCTGAGTTTGATCATCAGATGCTAAATAAAAGTGGAAGGAAAGGATTGATTTCTGAAAATTGTCTTGTAATGTCCATATACTCAGTGACACACATGCCCCCCCCCACAAATAGCTTTTTGTTTTGTTTTGTTTTTTAGTGAAGAGAATAAGATGACGACAACGAAGACGAATCAGTGCAGCGGGCGATGTGCACATAAGTTCCAGCAGTTTGAAAGGCTGAGGCAGGAGGAACCTCACTTGAACCTAGGAATTCAAAACCAGCCTGGCCAACAAAAAAATCTAATACTTAAACATTTTAGGGTTTAATAATTTACATTTTCTGTCTTATTGGAACACGGCAAAGTCACTGTTAATGTGACCTTGAAGACTCCTAGCCATAGGGAACAAAGACTTTACAGAAGCTAAGAAATCTGACCAGAGACCTTGGGGCCACAAATCAAGCACAGAGTGGGAGGGTTTGTGTGGCTAGATTCTTGGTGTGCTTTGGATGGACTACAGAGAGTACTGAGGAGGGCACCAGGCAACTCAGAAAATAAGTAAGTGGGACACCAGGTGCCTGTTGTTTCCCTTAAGAATTAGATTAAGAGATTGAGAAATTCCCTTAAATAAAGAAATCTGACAGGCATGATTGCCCACGCCTTTTAATCCCAGAACTCAGGGAGGCAGAAACAGAGAGACACCTGTGAGTTTGATGTCAGCCTAGTTTACATGGCAAGTTCCAGACCAGATACGGCTACACAGTGAGACCCCGTCTCGAAAATAAATTAATAAACAAATCATCATGATGACTACACGCACGTAGACTCCGCCCACAAAGGCATCTGAGGCATCACTGAAACAGTCAACGCCAGGTCCGACCTGTTTTCTCCCCAGGCAGTGACTGATGGATCCTCTGAGGATAACCACCACCTCCTCCTCCTCCCCTGCACTCATTCCAAATAGAAGGCACCCCCGTCCACCCTGGCCACACATCGAAGCTCAAATCTCACCCTGGAGAAACGCCCCTTACTCAAGGCAGGCTCCGGCCAAGATGCCTTCACAACAGTTGCCTCGGGGTGCCATGGCCTGCAACATGTGAAATGACTAAATAATACAAGACCACACAGCCAGTGAAGGGAGCCTGTGATTTTTGCCATCACCACCAGAGCT